AAATATAGGATGCCCAGTTAAATTTGAATTTCAGATCATGAATAATTTTTTAAAAGTGTGAGTATATCCCTGATATTATATGGGACATACTTATAATGGAAAAGTATTCGTTGATCTGAAATTCAAATTTGACAGGGCATTTGTACTCTTATTTGCTAAATTTGACAACGCCAGTCTTTGTTCTTCTGGGGTCAGCTTTCATCTCATAGGACCATGGCTTTGTTCAATTGCAAGAAATAGCAGAGGTCAGAGGCCACTCTTGAAGGAGGGGGACCTAAGACCAACGTCATACACGATGTAGGTTGATTCTCCCAGTGTCTCAGCTTCCACCTTCCTGCTAATCATCATATAAATTTTTCCCTTTGGGAAGGCTCATGCACTGTGGGTGGGAATGTAAATTAGCACAACCTCCATGGGAAACAGTATGGAGATTTCTCAAAGAACTGAAAGTAGAACTAGTATTCCATCCAGCAATCTCACTACTGGGTATATACTCAAAGGAAAAGAAAGCATTATACCAAAAAGATACCTGCAGTTGAATGTTTATCCGTGAAGCACTAGTCACCATAGTGAAGATATGCAATCAACCTAGTGTCCATCAATAGATGGTTGGATAAAGAAAATGTGGTTTAGGCTGGGTGCGGTGGCTCACGTCTGTAATCCTAGCACTCTGAGAGGCCGAGGCAGGTGGATTGCTTGAGGTCAGGAGTTCGAAACCAGCCTGAGCAAGAGCGAGACCCCATCTCTACTAAAAATAGAAAGAAATTAATTGGGCAACTAAAAATATATAGAAAAAAATTAGCATGGCATGATGGCGCATGCCTGTAGTCCAGCTACTTGGGAGGCTGAGGTAGAAGGATTGTTTGAGCCCAGGAGTTGGAGGTTGCTGCGAGCTAGGCTGATGCCACGGCAATCTAGCCTGGGCAACAGAGTGAGACTCTATCTCAATAAAAAAAAAAGAAAAGAAAGAAAACATGGTATATATACACAATGGAATACTATTCAGCCATAAAAAGAATGAAATCATGTCTTTTGCAGCAACATGGATGGAACTGGATGTCATTATCTTACGTGAAACAATTCAGGCACAGAACGACGAATATCACATGTGCTCAGTTATAAGTGGGAGCTAGATAACATGGACACGTGGGCATAGAGTGTGGAGTGATGAACAGTGGAGACTTGGAAGGGTGGGGAGGTGGGAAGAGGATGGGCAATGAGAAATTAATTAATGGGTTCAATGTACATTATTCTGCTGATGGGTACACCAGACTTTGCCACTATGCAATATATCTGTGTAACAAAATTGCACTGGTACCTCTTACATTTATACAAATAAAATTTTTTTCTCTCTGTCATATTGCCTTTTGTCCTTATCGTTTACTTTTTTTTTTTTGAGACAGAGTCTCACTTTGTTGCCCAGGATAGAGTGAGTGCCGTGGCGTCAGCCTAGCTCACAGCAACCCAAACTCCTGGGCTCAAGCAACCCTACTGCCTCAGCCTCCCGAGTCCCTCCTGGGACTACAGGCATGTACCACCATGCCTGGCTAATTTTTTGTATATATATTTTTAGTTGGTCAATTAATTTCTTTCTATTTTTAGTAGAGACGGGGTCTCGCTCAGGCTGGTTTTGAACTCTTGACCTCGAGCAATCTGCCCACCTTGGCTTACCAGAGTGCTAGGATTACAGGCGTGAGCCACCACCCCTGGCCGCTTTTTTTTTTTTTTTAAACAATGAACTTCAGATCAATGAACAATTTTTTAAAAAGTGTGAGTATATCCCTAATAATGCATGGGACATACTTATAATGAAAAAGTATTCATTGATCTGAAATTCAATGAACTTACTGTATTTTTAGCCACAACTCTAAGACAATCACTTGAGTTCCTCCAGCAGCTTTTGGCTCCTGAGCCTGGTCACTCATGGTCAGGGAAGCGTGGAGCTCTGATCGGATGGGTTTCCGTGGGATCTGATTGGTTGGATTGGGGATTGGGAGGACTGAGAGAGCAGGTCACAGTTTCTTGTTGTAATTGCCCAGTGCATATTATTAATATATAACATGGACTCTGGAGTCTGTCTGCTTGGATCCAAATCCTCACTCCATATATACTGGCTGTGTAACCAGGGATAAGTTACTAAACTCTGTACGCCAGTGTTCACATTTACAAGATGAGGAAAATAGTAATGTCTGCCACATAGACTCATTGGAGGATTAAGTGAGCTAATACAGGTGAGGAGCTTAGAGAAGTTCCTAACTCTTCTTGTTATGAGCTCTTCTTGTTTCTGGTAAAAATGTGAGACTATCACGTTGATTTTAGAGAAAGAATATGCCTAAGAACAGTGATTTTCCACTGGGGGCAGAGTGATTTTGCCCCTCTCATCCCCCACCCTAAGGGGCATTTGGCAACGTCTGGGGACATTTTTGGTGGCCACGGCCGGGGTAGTGGTGCTACTGGCTTCTAGTGGGCAGAAGCTAGGCACGCTGCTGAACATCCCACAGTGCACAAGACAGCCCCTCCCAACTAAGAGTTATCCTGACCCAAAACGTCGGTGGTGCTAAGGTTGAGAAACCTTGCCCTGCACGGTGTTTCAGGGTTACTTTGTGCAGTGGCTCCCATATCTGCTTGGCCAAGGAAATTTCAGACGTACAGATGCAGCCTACCAAAATATTTCTAAGTATCCTCACGATCTTATGTGAGTGGGGAAAGTATTTTACAAGGTGAGGAGGAGAACTCCTCCTGCTCCTCGTTTGGCTTGAGGACAGCAGGGTCGCGTGGCCTCCAGAGTGCGATAGCGCTTTTCCTGCTCAGGCCCACCCTGGCACTTTTGCCATGAGGGTGGCTGAATCAGGACCCCGATCTCCCTGTGCCACGTCTACCACTCTTCTCCACTGTGCTCAGACTTGGCCGTTGGGCTAGGCTTGCTGTGCTAGACTCTCCTTGTCCTTCACGGTGCATTTCCATCTTGGGTCTCTGGCTGTCCCTCCCTGTGACCCGGCTCCAGCTGACCGTCTCTCCACCCAAGTTCATCAACTTCTTGGCATATGTCTAATAGGGATGGATGATGAGGGTTCCACAGGAGGTGCCCTAGGCCCCACACCAATTAGCTGATGCCAAGGGTCATGAGGGAAGTGGCAATTGTCAACCCTTTTGGGCAGAAATCTGCAAGTCGTGCTGTTGAGAGATGCAATCCGATGTCTGACCCTTCTTGTTAGAAGTCAAGATGCCCTGTTTATTGTTGTGCAATTTGCACAAACGTGTTCTTGTGTATTAAGTTGGGAGGGTATTTGTTATGTCCATCAAGGCTCTGGGATCCATGAGGTCTTAGACTAATTCAAACCGATTTTGTCTACCTTTAAAGCTGGGCTCTTAACTGCTGCTCTAGAGGTGCAGACTTCCCAGCTCAAAGGGTCTTGGAGATTCTCTGGTCTCCTATGCATAGAAGAGAAAAGGGGAGGCCCAGAAAGGGATAGGACTCAGCCCAGCCTCCCCTCTCCCGCCCAGTGTTGGTTCTGGGCTGGGCCCCAGCAGGCCTCCAGATGCTTGACAACATGCTCCAGGCCAAGGTACATAAAAGCCTTGTGGCTTGGGGATGCGAGGACAGCTGGACAAACAGCTTGGGGACTGTGGGGCCAGTCTCCTGCCAGGACTTGGTGCCCCTGTGGGGGAGTGGGTGGAGTGCTGAGGGCTGCAGGGGGCGTGGGGGTTCCTACAAGCACCCTCCCTCTTCAAGCCTGTGCCCAACCCCGCCTTGGAGAAGAGCTCCCCAGTGCCTGATCCGCTCCCAGCCTGGCCGAGACTGGAAAAGGCTCCATTGGAGACTCCAGGGCCTGAATTGTGTTTGGCTCCTGGGATCATCTGAGTGGCAAGGGGATTCCCTGGCAGCCTCCCAGCGCATGGAGAGTTTCTGAATGGAAATGCTCTCATGGCGAATCATTTGCAGCGCTGGGAACGATCCCTTAGGGTCCTTCTGGGTCACTAAAAACTCAGAATCAGGCTTCCTTGTGCCGACTGGAATGTGGACTTAACGTCTGGCTCACGGAGAAGGCATCCAATCCTGGAATTTCTGATTGGCCTAGAGCCACAGAACCACACGCCATCTGGGTTGAATGCCACCACTTAGGTGAATACATCCCACTGTGCAGATGAGACCGAGGCCCAGAGCAAGCGAGGGATTTGTCCGTGATCACATGGCAAGCAAGTCTAGAACCTCCTCTCTTGATGCCATTGCTCTATCTACTGAGCTAGCAGCCATCACATACCCCAGATTTTCTGGAGCAAGTCTTGATTTTGTATGACTTTATTCTGTTAAATAAATGAGATTTAAAGTGAGAGACTACCTGTGATTTTGATTTTTATTATTTTGTGAGAACTTCCTCCCTCCCTCCCTCCCTCCCCCCTCCCTCCCTTCCTTCCTTCCTTCCTTCCTTCCTTCCTTCCTTCCTTCCTTCCTTCCTTCCTTCCTTCTTTCCTTCCTTCTTTCCTTCTTTCTTTTTTTGACAGAATCTCTCTTTGTCACCCAGGCTGGAGTGCAGTGGTGTAATCATAGCTGTCTGAAGCCTTGAACACCTGGGCTCAAGTGCTCCTCCTGCCTCAGCCTCCTGAGTATCTGGGACTACAGGCATGCACCATCATGACTTGCTGTTTTAAAAATTTTTGGAGAGACAGGGTCCCACTATGTAGCTGAAGCTGGTCTCAAACTCTTGAGCTCAAGCAATCCTCTCATCTCGGCCTCCCAAAGTACTGGGATTATAGGCGTGAGCCACCATGCCCGGCTAGACTTTTCAAATAAATAATTTACAGGTCAAATAAAACATTCTTGCTCAGATCACATGCCCTAAGCATGGGTGTGAAATGATTGACCAAGGGAGGAGTCCAGCAGACTCCAAGTACCAGCCAGGCCCACAGCAACATTCTGAGCAAGGAATTATGAGCCAAACTCTGTGCTTTGTGCCTTGTGGTGCAGAAATCAGAAACTCATCCAAAGATTGCCCTTTAAAAGCTGGTCATGAGGCCAACGACCAATGAGGTGGCCCAGCATGAGGACTCTGCCCAGAAGGGGTGCTCCATATTGGATGGAATTCACTGAGCCTGGTGGGATCCTCACTCCGGGACAGAGGGAAGGGAGCAGGGGAAGCAAGAAGAGCTGGGGTTGTAGAGGAAAAAGTGGTAATGGAGAGAGGGAGGAGTCCAGGATGGGGATTGGGGATTGCAAGAGGACTGGTCATGTGAGGGCCAGTCTGTCCTGACCAGCATCTCACTCACCATGGGTCCTGACCATGCAACTGGGAAGGTCTTCTCTGGTGTCTTCCCTTCCTTTCCTGTGTGTCCTTGCAATAAACACCCTGGAGCATCACAGGAATGGTCATGGCCAAGACATGCTGGCAGCCACCCTGAGTTGTGGACAACTGAAAGATGGAGGAGGGTGGGATCGGTGTTTCTCAGTGAGCCCAGTTTTTCTCCCTCCAGGCTGAGATCCAGTTGAGAATTCAGGGATATTTAATAGAAGCCAGGGACAGGAAGTGCATCAGGGGTGATGAGGAGCTGAGACCTGGAATTCACCAGGAACCCATGTAAATAGTCTCACCAGTTCTTCTCATCTGGGCCCACGTGGTCTCTTGTTCTCGTTTTCTTTGTGCATCTGCTTTATTCTCTTGTTGCAACCGGCTTTCTCTGCTCCACTTGCATCTGGCCCGGGCCCAGTCTCATGCAAACTCACCCTCCCAGGGCAAGGGCCGAGATGGATGAGAACCTCTGTATCTCAAATCCCAGCCCAGGAGGGAACATGTGATCGTGTGACTTGGATCCAGAGTGTCCTCTGGTCTCGTCAGTCATGACTTGAGGTGGAGGTCACAGAACTGCTCAGTTAGCAGCATTCTGGAGAAGGGGTGGGGGTTACATAGGAAAAGTGACCATGGAGGCATTTACAGGAGACCCTAAAGGAGCCCAAGAAGGAGCAGCCAGTGTGTGGGAGGGAGCTGGGAACATGTGGCATCCCAGAAGCCAAGGAAGGAGGGAGGGACTGGTGGGGCCAAAGCTGCTGAGAGGCAGAGTGAGCCACCGTGTGAGCAGTCTCAGGAAGGGAGGGGTGGGAGTCCGAGTGCAGTGGGGAGAGGTATGAGGCTGCAAAGTGGATGCAGGGGCAGACAGCTTCTTTATGAAGTTCGGCTTCGAAGGGGAGAAAGAGCCAGTGTGGCCCCTGGAAGGAGATATGGCATCCAGGGAGGGTTTTTTTTATTTGTTTGGTTTTGGTTTTTGTTAAGATGGGAGAGGACCGAGCTCATTTGCCTGGTGATGGGAAGGAGCCAGGAGAGAGGGAATGGCACAGACCCAGGGGAAAGGGATGGCACTGGTGGGACAGGCTGGAGGCAGAGCCCCGTGGGAGGACTGGCCCTTCCTCCGTGGCCCGAGGGAACCGGGACACGGCTGCAGACATCGACAGCCTTCAGCTATGGCTGCAGTTTTCTCGGTTAAAGAGAAGACAAAGCCATCTGCTGGGTTTGGCCCTGGGACATGGATCAGAGATTTGGGGCAGGCAGGGGAGGAGAATCAGGATTGGAGGAACCCTGGCTTCTGTCTGCAGCCACTCTGGGTTTGGTCCATCCTCTTCTCATATGGGTGCTGGGACACACAGACACACACATGGTGTTTCCATGCACAGGCCTGCTGTATACACCCTTGAGGGCATTTCACATGCATGCAGGTGTTCCCATCAGTCCAGCTTGCATGTACCCGTGTGCCCATACACGGGCCTGTATGTACATGCAAGTGTGGGCGGGCGCATGTGGACGCTCACATGTCCACATGGTGGCCAGCCCCCATCTCCACCTCCAGCCCTGAGCATCATGGCTTGAGTTCTTATTGCTGTTTATTGAAACCTCCCATCAAAGAAAGGGGCAGAAGGCAAGAAGGGAAGGGCTTCTTGTCTTGTTGGGACTCAATCTTGTTAGGACTGAGCCAGGAGACGTCAGGAGACCTCAGGGGAAGAGAGCTGGGACAACGGGAGAAGGTGGCCAGTAGGGACGGGCTGGACAAAGAGAATGGCAGGGCCTAGGTTGCAGGGAGGTTGAGGACAGGGCTGGGTATGGGAAGGTCTATGGCTGACCCTATGAACGGGCCAGGGCTGGGCTGCGGACTGTGGTGGTGGTAGCAGGGATGCCTCCACCAAGCTCTCAGAAGGCTTTGTCCTAGGTGGATGGACCTCTCCAGGATGCCCCGCCTCAACTCCCAAGGTCCCCAAGGAGCTCAGATGCAGGCGGGGCCTGGGCTGGGATTAGTCTCTGGAGGGCAGGGAGAGGGGGTTTTGTTGTCTTCAGCTGGAGCCCAGGCTTGGTCCATAAGGCTGCAGAGGGATCATCTGGGATGCCTTTTCTGCTTCTGGTTCCTGCTTTGGCTCCTCTGCCCGCAGGGACCTAGGGACAGAGAGCTCAGGGAAGTCCTGGGCCTAGACCTGCTTTCCCAGGGAGGAGCACCGATGGGGGCCAGAGGCAGGAGACTGACCATTTTTCTAAATCTTCGATAGTCTCTGGCAAGGGCCGATTGAGCGTCTCAGGCAGGAAAAGGGCAGCACTGCCCCCCAGGAGGGCGGTGATCCCATAGATGACATTGGGGATGAAGGGCTGCACCTCACCCGTGATTTTCACCAGTGGGGCCAACATGCTTCCAACACGGGTCCACATGTTACTTGCGCCCATACCTGTTTGCCTGGGAGGGTTCAGAGCAGGGATTGGCAGCCTGTGTGTAGGGTTCATAAAGGCTGGCTCTGGGACCCCTGGCCAGGGGGCAGGGGCCAGGGGGCAGGTGGCAGGAGGATGCCACTGTCCCACCTGACCCTGTGTCCTCTGGCTGGGCCCAGCCCCAGGTCCAGCACCTACCGGATGACTGTAGGGTATAGTTCACTTGTGTAGAGGAAGAGGCAGCTGAAGGAACTGGACAGGCATCCCTTTCCAAACACAGCTAGTACTGTCCTCAGGATCTGCATGTCTACAGAGGGAAGAAAATGTGGTGGATCTTGGAGTTCCAGAGCACCTGAATGTTCTCACTCCTTAGCAGACCTCGTCTTCCTTTTTGCTTTGGCTGCCAGGTTGCTCAGATCCAAACCTAAAGATGAATAATAGCCCCTCTGCTACTCCTAATGCTTTGCATGCTTGTGTCCTGCTATGTTTGCGTTTTCTCCTGGGTCTGATTCCCTGTTCCCATTTATATTTTGTTGTATATGTTCTTGTCCTAAAATGCCTCAAGCTCCTTTGGAAGGACACAGATATATCAGCCGACAAACACCTACATAAAATAAAAGGGGTCCAGGGTCATGGTGGAGCAGTTATGGGGTCTTTCTTGAGCAGAGGGCTCTGTTGTTTCCACATCTCGGGTTGTCCTCTGCAGTAATGTCACCCCGGATGTGTCCAGTCCCCAAGCAATTCCCCACACTGTTCAGCTACCACCATACTTTGCCCAGTCCAAGTCAGATCTGGAAAGGAGCTTCAATGTCATCTAGCCTAATTATTTTCTAGATGACAGACCTGAGCCTAAGAGAGTACAGGGACCTGCTCAAGGTAACACAGTGAATCAGAGGCAGAGCCAGCTGAACCGAAAACCCTGGTACCCCACTTTCTGGCTTGTGGCAGCTCTTCCAGAGGGTTCTGGGGTAGCCCCAGGCTCTCACCCAAGGGCACCAAGGTGAGAGCCAAGATGGCCCCTCCTGCCAGGAGCAGGGAAGCGGCTTCAGTGGTGTGCCGACCCACGTAGCTTAAGGAGAGGACAGTGATGAACTTGGCTGGGATGTCGACCCCACCAAAGATGACCTGGAGGATGTAGAGGTTGACTCCAAATTCTTCCACACCCATAGCCAAACCGTAGTAGGCAAAACCGGTGGCAAACCTGAGGGGCAGAGAGGGACGGGTTAGCACCCGCCCTGGTCACTGGGTCACCATGACGATGAACAGTTTCATTTCTTGCACCAAATGCACCCGATGGTAGGGGCTGCCTGAGTGCTGTTTTGAGGTTCCTGAGGTTGCGTCTGGGCTCAGTGAGGACGTGCTGGAATTGACGGGCCACGTCTGATGTGGGCACGGCCCATCGTGTGCTGGCAACGGTGCCCAAAACTGACTCTAGGGATCAAGACTGGAGGGACCCTCAGAGACCAAAGGAGGTGGCAGGTGATCTCTTGGCCGGGGAGTGGTGAGTGCCAAGCTGTGCACACGGGCCAGTTATTCCTCCCTCCCCCCTCAGAACCGTGGGACCCTCTTTCAGGGGTTCCTGGACACACTGGATCCCGTTTGCATGGGGATGGCCAGGCTGGAGAAGGGGCTCAGAGCTAGATCATGGAAAGGGCTTTGAGGGAGCTGTAGAATGTCAGACAGAAGAGAAAACTCGCGAGAGGTGTAATTTCTGCCTTCAACTCTGAAGCCCAGGAGGCCAGCCTTGCTCTGCGGGCTCCAGAGGGGAGAGCTGGACCAGAGTGGGCAGTGACAGAGAGACAGAGCCCGGGGAAACTGCGGGGCAAGGGTATGGGCTAGTGAAGGGGTCTAGACCATCTGCCCTGTGGGCAGGGCATTGGAAGCTCCTCGGGAAGCAGACCTCAGTGGCTGGACCTGGGTGTGGGGCCCGGCTGTGGTGGCCCAAGAGAGAGGATCCCTTGACATCTCTGGCAGATGCCCTAGGGCTTGGTCTGTGGTGAGCCTGCCGGAGGCCTTGTTCAGCATCCCACCCTGGTGTGGGGAGGGAGGGGTGGTGGGTTACCAGGCCAGGGAAAGACAGAAGGTCACGCGGCGCAGCATGGGTGTCCGGAACAGATCACTTGCGCTGTACTTGGCCTTAGCCAAGGACATCTCCTTCTGCAGGTTGTGTTTGAGCTCCTTGGGGCAGAGGAGGGAGAGGGTGCCATTAGTAACCAGCTGGTGGGCAGGAAGAAGAGAGGGCGGTGCAGGCCTGGCCCTCTAGAGGAGCTGGCTGGGGGGAGAGACGTGGTGTAGGCCGTGAGCAGGGGAAACAGAGGCCCAGAGTGGAGCAGCGGGGTCCTGCCCCCAGACTGCAGTCCCTATCAGTCCCTACCTCCAAGCTGAGCCTTTGTCCCTCCTCCTTCTTGCCATTGAAGGCAGCCACCCGCCGGAGTATCTTCAGGGCCTTCGAGGACTTTCCAGACAGGACCAGCCAGCGTATGGACTCTGGTGTCCACCTGGGGGCCAGAGTCCAGTCACAGTGGCTCCCCACCCCCACTCCAGAACCCCTTTTGAGAAGCTGGAAGAACATCAACAGCCTGGGCCAAGGGGCAGGAGGTCCAGAAACCCGAGCTGCCTTCTGCTCATGGAATTTAAACCTGACCAAAGTTGCACCTGGGCTGCCTGCAGCCAGCACAAATTCCAGATTTCTCTTCTTCTCCTTCCAGAGGAGCCTGTCCTCTGCCTCCCACCTGGGCTGCTTGTTATTGTTGGGCATCTTCCTTAGCTAAAAGCCCCAGGCTCTAGGCCGAGGCAGGTGGGGCCTGGGGAGAGGACAGCGTGTTCAAGGCTGGACAGCTGGAGGGTCGTGCACGTCCGCCTCCCAGCCTTCCTTGGGCTGCATTCCCAGTCCCCCTGGAGTAGAAGGGCAGGGCCACAGTCCTGGGGCAGCTCCAGAGGCGGCTGGAGGCTAAGGTGAGGGCTGTGGCCCAGGGAATGGGTTTCAGGGCCCTTCGGTTCTTCCTGCAAAGAGCACAGCATGAGGTCTTGCGATTGGCAAGTGGGCAGTCACCTCCATCTCCCTCGGGCTATGTTCTTGGAGTCGGCTCACCCTGAGCAATCCTTGAGGGTCACTAGGCAAAGAGGCGGGGATGGAGGTGTGGTGCAGAGATGTGGGAGAAAGGAGTGGTGTTTGCAGAAGTCCGTTCCAGGGTGGGGTCCGCTCCAACTGTGGCCCCATAGGTACCCAGGACCTGGCTGCAGTGAGGCCCTCAGAGAGTGGACATTGGTCATCTGGCCTCAGACCACTGCCCTAGATGATAGTGGTGGCTTCCTGGGCATGTCACTATCCCCCCTCCTGCCCTGACAGTCTTCTGAGTCTGCTGTCACCAAGATTACCAAGTGATGTCCTCTCAAACACCATAGTCAGGGTCTGGACTCCTTGGTATAGAGACAGCAATGGCTTCCGATTAATGAGCCTTGTTGTGTACCAGGCCCATGAAACTCTGGGTGACAGGCATTATTGTCTCCACTTTACCTAGAAAATTCTTGAGACTCGGAGTGGGTGAGACTCATCCCGTGGCAGGTGAAGAATGGGCCAGAGCTTGCGACTGTGTTCTGCCAACCACCTGGCCTCCTTCTACCTCCTGACTCTGCCTCCTCCGTTGCTGCTTCCACCCCGCTGTGGACATGCCCCGAGCCCCAGCCCAGACCCCTGACCTCTCTCACTCTGTCCCCCACACTGCCCTTTCCCTCTACGAGCGTCTACTCTCATTTCCAAGCCGAGATTCCATCTGTTTTCTGCACCTTTTCGTGTCACTTTGGGGAGTTGCTTCACTTCTTTGAGCCTTAGTGTCCTCAAATGCCAAACGGGGGCAATAATACCCCCTGGCACAGAGACTCCACGGGGACCCAAGACCGTGTAGGGTGAGGCCCGGGACAGGCCTCCAGGGCTCAATGAAAGGTCGCTCTAAGGCTGCACTTCTTTCCCGGAGCTCGTTGGTGATCTCCTGTCCTTTGGCTCCAGCTACCTCTGGAGACTCATCTCCTGACTTTCCGTGTGGCCTCAGGTTCACCATGTTGATCCCGAGCTCTGTGCCCACGCTGGGTCTCTGACCCAGGCACCCACTGTCCCAGGTTCCCAGGCTGGGCTCCTTTTTGAACTTTTCTTTTCTTTATCCTTCAGATCCAGAAGGCCCCAAATTCTCTGGATTCTTCCTTCAAAATGCTTCGTACACTTGTCTGTAGAATCTTCCTGCCTGCACCATCACCCCCCGTCTGTCTCTCCTCCTCACCCACGAGGGTCTGTCCTTCTCAGCTATTATTTTGCACAGGGAAGCTGGGCAGGCCTGAGGCACCACAGACACCCGCAGTGGCTTTCTTCCTCCTTCCGCTCGACGGTGCAGCCCCCTTGGCTCTCCGTGCTCTCTACAGCCCGGCCCGTCCTTCTCTACTTACTCCCCTTCTTCAGCTTCAGGTGGCCCCTGACTGTCCCCAGGACCCCTGACCCTCCTGCAGCACAGCTTCGCTCACATAACTCCTTCCCCCTGGCGGGCCCTCCCCTGGCTCTGGGACAGGGGACCCAGGGACAGACAGCCTTGGCCAGGCTGGTCAAGCATGCATTCCCCCTGTTTGGCCCGTGGGGGGCCTAAGAAGGCAGATGAGGAGGAGAGGGCCACATACCAGGATGACAGGAAGAAGACAAAGAAGGGGATGGACACGGTTAACTGCAGCCAACGCCACTGGGGGATAGCGTAGGCCAGGCCCGGCAGGATAAACTGGCCAAAGGTGTAGAAGTAGCCAGTTATTGTCGTCGCGAGGGCCCGCATCCGGGTGGGCACCCACTCCACATCTGCGGGAAGAGCCCAAGGACAAGATTAGGGTGCTGCTAGGCCCCAGGCACCTCCTTCTGAAGGGGCACCAGCTCCTCCCTCCCCATAGCGACTCGGTCTGATCTCGGCCCTAAGGGTCCCTCGTCCCCATTTTACAGGAGCTGCAGCTGAGGCTCCGGGAAGTAGGACTCAGCCCAGGTCTGTCTACTCCCAAACCCATGCTCTTGACCACTTCTTCTCCAGTGGCAAGTGACTGCCTTTGTTTTGCCTCAGTTTCCTCATCTGTAAAATGGGGATAATGGTATCACTGGCAAGTGTGGACTGAATGAGACTGTGTACCTAGCAGAGTGCCAGGCAAGGTCTCGGTATTGAAAGCTGCTATTATTATGCTGGTTTTCACTGTCATGTTCAGAGGGGGCCTCTGAGGTCCTGAGAAGGCAGTGCCTTAATCAAGGTCACAGGGAGCCTGAGGCTGAACCATGCTCAGACCCCACTCTCTTCTGGTTTCTGGCGGGGGCTCCCCCAAGGCCGGCTCCCTGCGCCCCTGCGGCTCACTCAAGATGATGGTGCTCAGGACGATGCCTGAGATGCCGCAGCCACACAGGAAGCGGAAGACGAAGTAGCTGTGGAGGGAGGGGCTGAAGGCTGCACCAGAGCCGCTGGCTGCCAGCAGCAGGTAGCTGCCCGTCAGGATGGGCCTGCGGCCAAACCTGCAGCTCGAGGGAGAGGAGGGGCCAGGTTAACCACTGCGCCTGCCAAGGCCGGTGACTCTGCAGGCTTTGGGGCAAAGGGCTGGACTTGAGTCCCCTCACCCACTGCCCTGTGGGGCATATACCTCCCTCCCCAGACAGAGCACTTCTGGTAATTGCTGTTTTTTGACAAGTTTGCAATTAGAACTCTGAGTTAATGAGTGATCCCGGCTACATCCACCCCCAGCTTAGCTGTCTGCGCAGGGTCACAGGATCACCGCCTCTAAGCGGTCCATCCGGCCTGCCTCCAACGCTACACAGCCGCTCTTCTGTGTCTGAAACCTGCAGGCTTTCCCCTGGGTCTGGGGCAAGGGCTTTGGGCTGGAGGCTTTGGGCCTACGAAGGGAGTGGGCTTGGCCAAGGCACACGGCGAGTGCCGTCCCACCCACCTCCCCCAGCTCTTCGCCTCTTTGTGTGTGTGTGTGTGGAGCAGAGTGGGGATGGTTTTCTCCTTGGGCTGTGCCCTTGCGTCTCACCTGTCAGACAGGTCTCCCAGCACGAGCCCTCCAATCAGTATGCCCGCCATGAAGATAGACTGGGCCATCTCCTTCATTTTGTTGGAGTTGCACACCAAGTCCCACTGCACAAGAGAAAGGTAGGGCCAGCCCGGCTCAGTCCAGACCGGCCTGCTCAGCCATGCTCACACTGTGCCTTCACACGTGTGGGTTCCCTGTCCCCGCATCCTGAGCACAATTTCCTCCCAAGCACAATTTCCTCCTTTTTTTCTTTGGAGACAGAGTCTGGCTCTGTCACCCAGGCTAGAGTGCAGTGGTGTCATCATATCTCACTGCAGCCTCAAACTCCTGGCTTCAAGCCATCCTCCTGCCTCAGTCTCCCCAGTAGCTGTGACTACAGGTGTGTGCCACCATACCCAGCTAAATTTTTCTGTTTTTTGTGGAGATGATGTCTTGCTCTTGCTCAGGCTGGTCTCGAACTCCTGACCTCAAGCAATCCATCCTCCTGTCTTGGCCTCCCAGAATGCTAGGATTACAGGCGTGAGCCACTGTACCAGGCCACCATTTCCTCTTTCAATCTGGCCCAGGACTCTTTGGGTCTGACTGTGGCTCTCTGGGTCCCTGACCAGCACCCCTCAAGCTTATGTGACCTGTCATATGGCTTACTAAGTGCTCAGTGGCCACATCATGTCTGGCTTCAGCATCCTCCCTCTTCCCCTCTGAGCTTGCCTACGGCCTTGTGGCTCCCTGATTGCCTCCTTCCTGAGGTCAGTCCCTCTGTCTGCACCCTGACTGCACCCTCTCTCCTCCACAGGGACAGTTTACTCTGCAGCTGCCACCTCCCTCCGCCCTCTAGGCTCTGTCCCACTCTCTCCAATTCCTCCTCACCAGCATATGGGTGTGTTCAACTCTCCATCTCTCCTGTCCACACTCGCTCCATTTCTCCATTCCCTCCAAGGCCATACCTCTTGAAGGAGGAGCTGCACTTACTGTCAGCCTGTCCTCCTCTCCCCCTGGTTTCTCAGTTCTGCCCAACCCGTCCACTGAAACTGCACCCACCAAACCACCAAAGACTCCTGTTTCACGGCAACACGGACCCTCCTGCATCCTGCCTGGCTTGCCCTCTCCCTCCACCCAGTCTTCCTCCCACCATTCCATGGTCCCCCACCCCCCATGGGCTCCTCTCTCTGCCTGTCCCTTGGGACTTCCCCAGGGCTCTTCCTGGATTTTCCTCTCTGTCCTCTTTCTCAGGAGATCGTCCTTCCCATGGCTTCATGTGCTATTTTATGCTGAAGATTCCAAATCCTTATCTCCAGCCAAACCTCTCTCCTGGCCCCTGGGCCAGTTGATTGAATGGCCCCCTGGGAATTCCACCTGGGTAATGTCACATGGGCATCCCCCACTCAGCACGACTTGTCACGCCACTCCTCCTTAAGGTCTCAATCTCAGTGACTGGCAACTCTCTCTCTTTTAATTTTAATTTTTAAAAACTTATGTTATTTTGAATTGGTAAGTCATAACTATATTACATGCATGGAGAACATGCTATGCTATATGTATGCAATGTGGAGTGATTAAATCAAGCTAATTTAACATATCCATCACCTCACTTGCTTGAAATTTTTTGTCATGATACATTTGAAAGCTACTCTCTTGGATATTTTGAAATATATGATACATTATTATTGACTATAGCCACCCTGCTGTGTGATGGGTCTCAGAACTTATTCTTTCTGTCTAGCTGGAACTTTATACCCTTTGACCAGGAATTCCCCATCCTGTCGCTCCAGCCCCCTCACCCCCAGCCTCTGGGGACCATCAATCTACTCTCTACCTCTGCAAAGTCAACTTTTTTAAGATTCTGAGATACGTGAGATCTACATCCGTGAGATCATGCTGCTAACCCTCTCAACTCCTCCCTCTCTCGCCCATGTCCTGGTCACTGGATCCTCACGTTTCCAACTTTTTTATATTTCTGGAATCTGGATTCTTCTATTTCCACTACAACTGTCTCATTGTGGGCCTCATTCTCTTGCACTCGGATTAATAATGACAGCCAGTATTTATTGAGGGCTTTCTAGGTACCGGGCACTGTTCTAACCTCTTTCTGTGCTTTAACTTCTTTAACCCTCACAACTTCATTATTTAGGTGCTAACATCACCTCCATTTTACAGATGAGGAAACTGAGGCCCAGAGGAGATTACTGCAGCAACATTCTGACAAGGTCTCCTGGACTTCAGTCTCATCCCCTCCTATCCATTCTTCCCCTGATAACCCTAACAGCTTTCTAAAACACTGCTCAAATCAGCTTCCTGTCTTGCCTAAAGCATTTGTCGACTGCCTCTTGCCCTTTGGGTAAACACAGATTTATTATAACCCTCCATGCTCTGGCTCCTGCCTACCTGTCTGGTCTAATCTCCTGCTAATCCCCAACTCGCACCCTTTGCACCAGCCACCCTGAATTACTTGTGTAATGAAGTGGAGAATTTAATTCACTAGAAATGCCTCACAAGAATGTTTTGAAAGTAAAGCATTCCAAAAGGGGAAGAACCACACATCTCAGGGAACTTTTTTCCACTCTCCTCAGCTGGAAGTGAGGGAGGACGGGGGTTGATAGGATTCCAGTTCTCCAGCTGTCTCAGTGACCCGGCATGGCCCGCAAACATGGCGGTCCCTTCTAGCAGGGAAGGAGGTCTGCATAGTTTGCAGATGGCTTGGGGGAGGGAAAAAGGTAAAAGAGGAAGTAAGGGTGTGTGAGGAGGAATATGCCAGTGGGTGTCTAGAGAGACTTCCCGTGCTTGTGGAATGCTGCATAAAGACCCTTTAGGAAAAACTAAAGGAAAGACCTACTGTTTACCTAAATTCATTCTCCTCTTCCTCCATAGAAAATAGCATGTTTCCCAAGTGACCCTGTAGCGGGGTAGGGACATGTGGTTCTTGACAGTGGAAACTGAGTAGAAGAGATGTATGTTACTTCCACCTCATTTGCTTAGGAGGAAATCCCTGGCCTGGACTTACATGCCTTCTTCCTCCCTGTTGGCTGGGAATGGTGACAAGTAGAACAACTCTGAAAGCCGAGTGCCAAAGATGGCAGAGCTGCCATCAGCCTGGGTCTCTGAATGACCCTATGGAGCAGAGCCGCCCATCAGCCTGAAATGCTACTCACCTTGAAACTGAGAAAGAGAAACACTTCTATATGCTTCAAGCCGTGAATTATTGTTGACTCTTTTGTTAGAGCAACCTAACCTATCCTGTTACACCCCATAATGAGTTGCAAATGGAAATTAGATTTTTATCCCTCACTACCTTCATGATATTTAGTACCTTAAGAAATCAAGCATCTATTTGGATCGTGAGAAGGTCAATGTCAGACCTGCTCGGATTAGTTTAAGGCTGCTGCCCTGCTCTACTGAGACCAGATCTGCTGGGTCTATTGTTTCTTTCCACCATGGAACTTGTGATCATGTAGCCTTTAGAATAACTGTCACAGGCCAGTTTACACAAGAAAATGGAGCAATTCACACAAAAAAATGCCATTTCTGGAATGAATTTTGGGTCATGTTTAGAACATGCCCAAATCCTTACGATGGCCTAGGAGGCCCTGTAGGATCTATTCCCATCTTGATCCCTGTTACCTTTCTGCTGTCACCTGCTACTGCTCTCTCCCTCCCATACTCCACTCTCACTGAACTGATCACCTTGTTGTTCCGTACACATGTCAGGTGTGCACCTACTTAATGTCTTTGCTCAAATGTTATCTTCTCAATGAGACCTTCCTTGACCCCGCTATATTCACAACTATAACCCCCAGTAGTGTCCATCTCTCTCCTCTATTTAATGTTCTTTATAGCACTTATACCATCAGACATACTGAATCTTTCCCCCTTTTTTTTGTTTGCTGCATGTTTCTCCCCCAAGAATGTCAGCTTGATGAGGGTAAGGCCTTTATTCTATTTTGTTCACTACTGTACTTTCGATGCCTAGAACAGTGCCTGACACATAGTAGGCACTCAACAAACACCTGCGGGAACTGAATGAGTGAACATGTCATAGAAAGAACAGAGGGATGGTGAGCCTTAGAAGTTACAGATATGCCAATATCTAAACGCCCACACTCCAAATGCTACGTGGAGAACTGCCTCACTTCCCCAGAGTGAATGCATGTCAGGATGGATCATGCCTAGGCTGCATACAACGAATATATCAACATGTGTTAGCAAGAAGAAGAGAAGTGTTCTTCCAATCAGACTGGAAAACCTTCTACGGAAAATTATCTACTGGAGGATTACCATCCTTCAGTGAAGTTTGGAAGCTCCGAAGGAGGAGTGCTTTGTGGCTAAATATTTAAAAAATTGGACTTCAATGGCACTCTAAAGTGCTCCCAGAGATTTCATGGTTAATGACGCATGTCAGAACTGATGACAAAAATGTGGCTGTGGCTTTCCCGCAGATCAACAAATCCAAGGGGCTCAGATCTGAGACGTACAACTCTTATGGGTTGAACTGTGTTCCCCCAAAACATATGTTGAAGTCCTAATCCCCTGTATCTCAGATGTGACCTCATTTGGAAATAGTGTTGTAGGTATAATCAGCTAAGTTATGATGAGGTCATACTGAAGTAGGGGGGCCCTTAATCCACTATGACTAGTGTCTTTATAAGAAGAGAAGAGAGGGACACACAGGGAGAACACTATGTTACAATGGACAGAGGCAGAGGTTAGAGTGATGCATCTGTAAGCCAAGGGATGCCAAAGACTGCTACCAAGCTGCAGAAGCTGGAAGAGGCAAAGAGGGATTCCTCCCTAGAGCCATTGGAGAGAGAAGATCGACACCTTGATTTTGGACTTCTAGCCTTCACATGTGTGAGACAATAAAATCTCTGTTGTTTTAAGCCACTCAATTTGTGACAATTTGTTATGGCAGCCCTAATAAATGGCTCGCTGCCTGCTTCCTGTGTATCCGAGTATCTGCTGGTTTGGTAGGCATGACGGGAAAAGGACTGCGGATAGAAGAGCGTGGCAGTCCGGGAGCCAGATGCAGAGCAAATGGGAGAGGTTTCCAAAGGCATCCTGGATTTTCCGTACAGAGGAAGATACACAGGGAGAATTTGCACTTGTGATTCTA